TTATTATAATAATAAAAAATAAAACATTAATTAAAATTAATATAAAATATTATTAAAGTTAATTACAAATATATAATAAATTTACGCATTGTACAAAAAAAAAAATGTGTAAAGCATTCCCAAATAAAACATAAACCATAATGAGAGGGAAAAACAATCTAGAATAGGAATGAAAAATTTGGATCCGACTTGACCCACCCTCTGTCATTAGGCCTTAGGTCATAATTTCGACCTAAAATCTAAAATAACCTAACAAAATTCATTAAGTTTTAAAATTTTAAAATATTAGTTAAATATACTTTTAATTTTTGAATTTTAAATAAAATTAAAAATGTGAAATTCTTGTAATTTATTTAGATTATTAAATTTAACATTACTTTCATAGATTTTTCACCAATTAATTCGTTAATATTAGATTTTTTTGTGAAAATTAATATTAAATTTTTTATGAAAAATGTAGAAAGGATTAGAAAGTTTTAATTTTGATATTAATTTTTAAAAAATCAAGTTGATCCAATCAAATTTAAAACATGTATATGTGAGTTATATATTTATACATATTATTTAAAATTTAAAATAACCCGATAAAATAATTTAAAGTAAAAAAACTACTTAATTCAAATAGAATGGATTCAACCTGTATGCCAAATCTACTCTACAAAAGTTATTCTCCAAAATCAACTATGCCCCCCACGCAGCACTCATTACATTGCCAAACCCCTTCCAAGGTCAGGTTAAGTGCTGCCATATTGAACCCGTTCAGTTGCCACGGCATCTCCATGCGCTCTCTCAAAACACATGGGAAGATATAAATGAGGAAAACTGGAGAAACCATAAATCAATACCTCAATATATTATTTCACATGAATGACCTCTTTATTTTAACGGTATCCAACCATCTACTTTAGAATTGGTTCCTTAAATCCATGGTAAATAACATGCCTTTAATCAAATTGAAAATGGAAGTTTAGCTAATATATCAATTGAACATAATAATCACGATTTTTTGAAAATTTCCCAACATTTAAAAGCATTCAAAGGTTTCTAATTTTTGAAAAATTATTAACACACCCTTGTATCGATGTAATGCATTTAAAAAGAATTAATTTATCAAATACTTTTTTATTTTTGAATTTAAAATTTGAGTTAATAAGAGATATTTATTTATCAATAAATATAAACCTTAAGATAGCACTTTTAAAGCCTTTAAAGTATGATCATCGTGTTTTTCTTTGAATATGAGAAACAGATTTTTCTGAGAAATGGAATGCTTTGCAAGTACGAGGCTGGGAGTTCGCAACCCTAGTAACCCCGAAGCTTTAAAGCATAGGATGAACCCACTAGCCTTAATGCGCTTGTTCTGTGATCTTCGTCTGTTGTATACGAAGAGGATAATAATTGATTTACCATCTAATTAACACATTATATAACACACTTTAATTTAATCATTAAAATTTATTTTAAAAATTTTTTTACTATAAATTTAAATTTTAAAATAATATTTTTTTAATAAACATGTTATAAAATGTATTGAATTAAAAGTTTTACTAATTATTTTTTATTGCAAAAACATAGGCAATCATCAATCACAGAATGTCACATGACTGACTGTTTCTCGAATCATCCCAATATTGTGATATATTTTGATTTTAAAAATTGATTTATTATAATTTATTTTAAACAAAAAATCTTAATTAATGTTATTATAAATATTCAGTAGAATTTAAAGAACTGTTTTTTTAATTAAGTTCTACATAGATATGTTAAAAATATAGAAACGGAATTAATGTTGTATAGTTTACGTTATTTCAAATGGTAAAGTATCAATTATTAAGAGACTTTTTTAATTCAGTTGTTAATATTTTACCATTTGAATTAAAAACACTTTTTTTGAATAAAAAAGTTGTATATATTTTTTTGTAAAATATTTTTTTGATCATTTAATTTTTTATTATTAATTTAGAATATAAAGAATACTTTTACCTATACACATTATATTTTATTGTCACTTCAAGCTAAACATTTACTTCTTTTTTTCTTTTTGTAAAACATACTCCCTACAATCTATTCAATTTTCATTTTTACCTATATTACCTATGAAAAATAATTGGTATACATTAGATTCAACATATTTCTTAACATCCATCCCAATTTAATTAAAAATTATAATATAAATATAATCGATTTAATCAATTCTTATATCATGTATGTAAGATTACATTTTTAAATTTATATATTTTTAATTTCATACTAAAAATAATAATTTTTAATTAGTATGTTAAATTACAATATGTATCAACAAGTGTCCATTACCTTTAAAACTTTTTTGTGATATAATGAATAATTAAAGT